TTTGGCTCCATCTCTTCATTCTTTCTGGTGTTATTTCTCCACTCTTCTCCAGTAGCATACCTGGCACCTACCAATCCGGGGAGTTCATCTTTCAGTGTCCTATCTTTTTGCTTTTTCATACTGTTCATGGGGTTCTCAAGGCAAAAATACTTAAGTGGTTGCCATCTCCTCCAGTGGACCACATTTTGCTTGTTTAACTTATATACAGAGTGTATTACAACGAAATACCAGGCTGGATGAAGCACAAGCTGGAATCAAGATTGCCAGCAAACATATCAATAACCTCAGATATGCAGATGACACCACCCTTATGGCAGAAAGTGAAGAACTAAACAGACTCTTGATGAAAGTGAAAGAGGAGAGTGAAAAAGCTGGCTTAAAACTCAACCTTCAGAAAACTAAGATCATGACATCCAGTCCCATCACTTCATGGCAAATAGATGGGGAAACAATGGAAAAAGTGACAGACTTTATTTTGGGGGGCTCTAAAATCACTGAAGATGGTGACTGCAGCCATGAAATTAAAACATGCTTGCTCCTTGGAAGAAAAGCTATGACCAACCTAGACAGAATATTAAAAAGTAGAGATTACTTTGCCAACAAAGTTTCATCTAATCAAAGCTACGGTTTTTTCCAGTAGTCATGTATGGATGTGAAAGTTGGTCTATAAAGAAAGCTGAGCACCACATAATTGGTATTTTTGAACTGTGGTGTTGGAGAAGAGTCTTGAGAGTCCCTTGGACTGCAAGATCCAACTAGTCCATCCTAAAGGAAATCAGTCCTGAATATTCATTCAAAGGACTGATGCTGAAGCTCAAACTCCAATACTTTGGCCACCTCATGAGAAGAACTGACTCATTAGAAAGACCCTGATGCTGGGAAAGATTGAAGGCAAAAGGGGACAGCAGAGGATGAGATGGTTGGATGGCATCACCAACTTGATGGACAATGAGTTTGATGAGGAAGCTCTAGGAGTTGGTGATGGACAGGGAAGCCTGGCGTGCTGCAGTCCATGTGGTTGCAAAGAATTGGACATGACTGAGCAACTGAACAGAGTTTGTTTCTTCTAAGGAATTTTTGCATTTCCTCTAACTTATCTTTTAAAATATAATTTATTTATATCTGTCTGTGCTGGGTCTTTGTTGCTGCACAAACTTTTTTCTAGTTGCAGGGAGCAGGGGCAACTGCTACTTGTTGTATGCAGGCTCTCCTTGCAGTGGTTTCTGTCATTGCTGAGCAAGGGCTCTAGGGTACTCGGGCTCAGTCGTTGTGGCCCATGACCTTAGTTGCTCCAAGGCAAGTGGGATTTTTCCTGACCAGGGATTGAACCCGTATCTCCTGTATTGGTAGGTGAATTACCACTGAGCCACAAGAGAAGTCCTATCATCACTTTTACCCTGTAATTCTACTTTTTAAAAACATTTAATTGAAGGACAATTGCTTTACAGAATTTTGTTTTCTGTCAAACCTCAACATGAATCAGCCATAGGTATACATATGTCCCCACCCTCTTGAACCTATCTCCCAACCCCACTCCTCCAGGTTGATACAGACCTCCTGTCTGAGTTTACTAAGACATACAGCAATTCCCATTGTCTATTTTACATATGGTAATGTAAGTTTCCATGTTACTCTTAATAGAATTTATTAATAGAATTTACTTCACCCTAGAATCTGACTACAGCTATGATCTCAAAAGTCACAGGCAAGATGGCGCTGCAACAACTTTTAACTTCCGCAGATAAGAAGAAATGAGGTACTTCCTTGGTGGTCCAGTGGTTGGGAATCTGCCTGCCAATGCAGAGGACACAGGTTCTGTCCCTGGTTGGGTAGGATTTCACACGCCACGGGGCAACTGGAACTGTGTGTCACAAATACTGAAGCCCACGCACCCTAGAGCCTGTGCTCCACAAGAGAAACCACCACAATGAGATGTGCGCACACCACAACTAGACAGTAGCCCCAGCTCACTGCAACTAGAGAAAGCCCAGGTGCAACAACAAAGACCCAGCACAGCCAAAAATAAAATAAATAAAACTAAAAAAAAAAAAAGAGTAAGAAATTAGTTTCATGAGGAAAACTGTAACTAAAAGCAAGAAAATGGCCCAAAGATAAAGTAGCTGACTTTGCACTTACTCACAGGATAAAACTGACAAGACTGTATAAATGATTTAATGAAGAATAATGCACAGTTTTTCTGAATGGGTACTTTAATATATTCTCTGAGGACATGAAAAGCACACTTGTTGGCTAATGAACAGTTCAGAACATTGGTAAAACATTTGACACGACAAAACCTTCTGTTTCGCAACAAATTCAAAGTTTTAATCATATAACAGAAAATACAATAAAAAAACACATTGAAGGATTATGTTCAGCTACAAGTAACAGGAAACACTCACAGCCTTCCTGACAGAAGGAAGGTGATTCTTCTCACATGGAAACAATGGGTCAAGGATAGCAGTGCACAATGCACCAGAGAAGCAAACTGACATGTAGGAGAGGAAGCAAAGATATAATCCAGAGAAGAGTGGAATCAGGATATTCCCAACCACAAAACTCTGAAATACTTTCCTTGTGGACACAGGAAGCCTAACAGAAAAAATCCAAACTCTGCTGGATCTTTGATGTGGAAGCTATGAAGACACTGGGGGAAACTATACATCTATAAAAATGGAAATCAAACACTGGTTGCTGGTGGTGATGACACTCTTCACTACAAGTTCACGGAGTTTGGAAAATATGCTAGATGATGCTGTCCTTGAAGCTCCTGTGTAACTGTCTGTCTCCCAGGGTGGAGGCTCTAATATCTGAACAATGTCTTTTTTACATCTGCTTTTAAGTCATACACAGGTGAGCTACTGGTGAATGCTAACAAGGAACTACAAAGAGGATGGATTCTAGAAAGTCTGGGTCCTACCTCTAACTTGACATCCTTAGGATTAACACAAGTCTCATAGTCTATTCAGGCTTCCCAGGTGGCGCAGTGGTAAAGAATCCACCTGCCAATGCAGGAGATGGGTTCAATCTCTGGTTCAGAAAGATCCCCTGGAATAGGAAATAGCAACCCACTCCAGTATTCTTGCCTGGAAGAATTCCATGGACAGAGGAACCTGGTGGGCTACAATCCAAAGGGTTGCAAAGAGATATGACTGAGCAACCACACACACATGCAAACAAGCAGTCTGTTCAATTAGCCAGAAATAGAAAAAACAAATAGGAAAAATCATAATTTAGTTAGCAGTATACTGTTTGACATCCTAGCCATACATAATATTAACTCCAAGTGATTAATAGAATGGAAATGGAAAAAGGCTCCTATACTCACCACCAACTGGAGAGGGTTGCCACGCCCTCCTCCAGGGGATCACCCCAACCTAGGGCTAGAACCCCGGTCTCCTGCATTGCAGGCGGATTCTTTACCATCTGAGCCACCAGGGAAGCCCACGAATACTGGAGTGGATAGCTTATCCTTTCTCCAGGGGATCTTCCTGACCCAGGAATTGAACAGGGGTCTCCTGCATTGCAGGAAGATTCTTTATAAATTGAGCTACCAAGGAAGCCCATAAAACAGGGTACAATATATATAATAGGTTATACATCTAGGAACTGCCACACTGATACTGAGCCGGACCCTGCGGGGCTCCTGGGGACACGGCCTTTCTGTGTCCTTCTCTTTGATTACAGGAAACAGCCTTCACTCGGCTTCCATGAGCTTCCCTGAGTTCCAGTGGGCTGAGGCAAGCAGCTGTTAATCAGGGAAGGGAGGGGGTGCAAGACCAGGGATAAAGAGTCAAGAGCAGCCTTGGGGCAAGGTCCTGATTCCCCATCAATGAACACACACAACAATATCTTTGAGTTATTTTGCAGAAACTGAAACTCCCTCAGGTGGGGGAAGTTAATGATTAAGGAGGGTATGCTGCCCACAAACAGGAAGACCCCAGAGCAGCTGGACCTCAGGTTGACGATGCTGATCCCAACTTGCCTCACCACCACCCATCAGAAGAATGTCCATGAAGTGAACCTCTCTGAACAATTATTATAAAACTTTCTCACTCTCTTCCCCAAGTGGGAACACATGGTTTTGAGGGCATTAGCCCACTGTGGCCCCCTTTGCCTAGCAAAGAAACAAAGTTATCCTTCTCTATTACATCCAAAGAGGAAAAAAAATCACTATCTGAGTAAAGGAAAAATGACTACCTTTAAACCTTATGTACTGTGGTTGAAAGATAACTTACAGAAACAAGTGACATTAACATTCCTTTCTGAAATGAGTAGAAATCCACCATTTAAGGTTAAATTTGAAGGAAGACCTTTAGAAAACACAATGCATTTATAAATTAAAAAAATTTTTAAAACAATTCCTTTGGGACTTCCCCAGCGATCCAGTGGTTAAGACAATGTGCCTCCACTGTAGGGGCATGGTTTCCATCACTGGTTGGGGAACTAAGATCCTACATGTCCCAAGTTGAGGTCAAAAGAAAATACTAATAAATAAAAATAAAACAACTCTTTGATGCTGAAGGTTTTCTGGAACATTAAGCATGGATTACTTTCCATCAATTTATCTCATGTTATTTACATTTACACATCTTCTCCATGGGAGTTTTTCCATATAATGATGTCAGCCAATTGAAGTATTTCTGAGGCTGTTTACAAACAAGGTTTTACCTAGTAAATCCTTTTATGGTTTCAGAAACTACTAAGATCGGAAAAGCCTTTTCCACATTCTTCACATTTTATATGATTTCCGTCCAGTGTGTAGTCTCATGGGTCTTTGAATGACTGAGACACAAATGGAAGATTCCCGACATTTCCATCAAATTGACAGGTTTCTGTCCAGTGTGAATTCTTTCATGCACGTCAATGTAAGTGGAACAGAACGTTTCCCTTTCATTTCCCATTCCCATACATTTCATTCTCATTTTATTCCCATACATTCAAAGTGTCCCCCCTGTCAACTATGGGTCCTTCGATGTATTTTTAAAAATGATGGATACCGGTACCATTTACCACACTGGTCACATTGATATGGTTTCTCTCCAGTGTGACTCCTTTCATGTACTTTAAAAGAACTGGGATGAATGAATACTCTCTCACATTCTTTACATTTATAAGGTCCATCCCCAGTGTGTGTTATCATGTGTTTCTGAAGGGTTACATTTAATAAGAAGGCTTTCCCACATTCCTTACACTTATATGGTTTTTCTCCAGTGTGGATTCTTTCATGATTTCGTAGCGACCAGGCAGTATTCAATACTTTAGAGCATGTTTTACATACAAACGGTGTCTCTCCTGTGTGATGTCTTTTGTGTGCCTGGAAGGACCTCAAACGTTTGAAAGCTTTACCACACTGCTTACATTCATAAGGTTTCTCTCCCCTGTGAATCCTCTCATGTATTTCAATAGTTTCAGGACTTTCAAAGGTTTTCCCACATTCTGTACATTTGTAAGGTTTATGTCCTTTATGAGTGCTTTCATGCATTCGTAGGTGACTGGGATAAATGAATGCTTTCTCACATTTCTGACACTTGTAAGGTAAGTCTCCAGTGTGTGTTCCCATGTGTTTTCGAAAAGTTGTGTGCCACGTGAAGGCTTTGCCACATTCCTTACATTCATAGGGTTTCTCTCCTGTGTGACTCCTTTCATGGGTCTTCAGAGCACTAGGAAAAATGAATGCTATTCCACATTCTTTACATTTATATACCTTCTCACGGTACTTTCGGCGATCTCCTGATCTGTTTTCAATGTGACATTTCATGTGTCTAGTAAGGGAAGAATGATACATGAAGACTTTCCCACACGCTCTGCATTCCCATGGTTTTATATCACGAGTTCTCTTCACATTGGGAGTTGGAATAAGGTTGAAGCTTTCTTCAGAGGAATTAATGTCTCTCTTTTCAGAGTGTCTCTCTGCTTTGGGATTTCTGTAAATCATGAGAATACTATTAATGATTTTTTTCCCTTAATTACATTATATTTACTGTCTTTATTATGATTTATAGCAATAGTGAGGTTTTCTATCTTGTGTGACTTGGTAGAAGTCAAATAAACTGAACACTGTTAATAGGACTTTCCCTTTTCTACTAAAAAGTGATATTCAAATATAGGCTTTATGAATACTAACTGCACACAAACTTTATTTCAAACACAGAACATTTATATCACATTTAAGAAAATTTGAGGGAGACATTTTCTAAAAACAACGAAATTTGAAGTTGGAGCTATTTATTTTGTTTGCTTCCTTTAAGGTTTTCATAAGATTCTCATATTAGACATGCTTTGCACTATACAAATGGCTCACCGTAATTTTCTCTCCTGGTTTTTGTCCTGATCTTCAATGTCATGGTCTTCCTGTTTTGCTTCTGAAGTGCAGACCCGGAAAAAAGATCCCAAAGTATTAGACGTTACAGAATGTTATGTCCATAATGAACTCGACGCTGCCCAGTTTCTCTTTTTTCTTTTCACCTCCCTGTACATTTTGTGGGATCTTAGTTCCTTGACCAGGGATTGAACCAGGGCCACGGCAGTGAAAGTGCTGATACTTAACCTCTGGACTGCCAGGGAATTCCTTTTTTTTTTCCCCTACTTTCTTTATCAGTGTCCTCCCTTTCCACATTCCACATCTCTGAACAGCACAGACGGGTAAGAAACACTTGCTCTCTAATTGACAAAGGGAAGGAATTCTTCATTCTTACCTACTGAGACTACATTCCTGAAGTTTTCCCGCATCACATCTCTGTAGAGTTTCCTCTGTGAGGAATCCAGTAAAACCCACTCATCCAGGGTGAAGTTTACAGCCACATCCTCAAAGGCCAATGAGTCCTAAAACACCCAAAATATGTACACAGTAAGATGCATGAGACTGACAGCACTAGATACCCACACTTCATTTATAGGAGGGTGATGTACTATTTTGTTTATAAAGAGTTATTCTATGACTTGATCATGAAAAACTTACTCTCTACATCTCCTCAATAATTTGACAGGATCATGAAGAAATGAAACCATTTACACATCATTTCTGTGGTCATAGTGTCACTCATATCACGATCATGGCAGAACCAGAGAATGTAGGGAAACATTAGAAATCCTATGCAGATGAAATAAATACCATTTTAGAAACCATTTAGTTCTTGTGAAAAAATTCTTTCATATTCTTCCTTATGGTCTACAATTTACAGTACCCCTTGGGGCAGAGGATCCAGACTGCATGAGGTTTCAATGAATAAAAATGCAGCAAAAAATTGGATGGTATTTTCTAGTCCTATCACCTAACATCAATGCCCAGGTAGCCTGCAGAACTCACACTTTTAACAAAGCCCAGCTGCCCATACTGTGCCAAGGTCCTCCAAGTATTTAGAAGAAATCACATGCAGTTGCCTGAATATAAATACTCTTCTACAGAAGCACTGCCTTTAAGTTGTGTAATAATTATCACAGAGTCTGTTTTTCCTTTTTTTCTATAAAAAAACTTGATGCATGTAGGAAGCGATTTCAAACTTAGACCTCAGTTATGGAGAAGAAGCAGTAATACATTAGGGACATTCCTGGTTTCTAAATTATATATTTTTTTAAAAAGTGATATTCCAATACAGGGTTTATGAATACTGGTGGTTCAGTATTTAGGAATCTGCCTGCCAACGCAGGAGTGCTATTCGCTCAGTCGTGTCTGACTCTTTGCGACCCCTTGGACTGTAGCCCACCACATTCCTCTGTCCAAGGAATTCTCCAGGCAAGAATACTGGAGTGGGTTGCCACTTCCGTCTCCAGGGTTCCTTCCCGACCCAGAGATTGAACCCACATCTCCTGCATTGCAGGCAGACTCTTTAGTGTCTCAGCTACCAGGGAAGCCCCCAGGGCGGGAGACAAAAGTTCAATCCCTGGTCAGAGAAGATCTCACACGCCCCAGGGCAACTAAGCCCGTGGGCCACAACTACTCAGCCTGTTTTCTAGAGTCCCGTGCTCTCTGCAACAAGAGAACTAAACACTACAGCAAGAAGCCACAGAGAAAATCTGTGCGCAGAGCGAAAATCCAGTAAGTTAATAAAATAAGAAATCTAGACCACAAAATTCCTATACTCAGGTGCCTCAGGGCTGCTTCCAGCCAAATTTTAGAACATACAGGGCAATTATGTGCTGGAAAATCTCTTTTTCATCACACTCTTTAACAGTACACCCTGAACCTTACTGCCCTTAAGTAATAAGATTACGAGCTACAGTTTACAAGCGAGTTCATCAATGTCCATAATACTCTGATGGTGAATTTTCTCATAATTATAAAAGATATAAGACTTTCATCATTGGCTTCCTTCAAAAGGACATGAAGTCTCCAACCTGCAATTTCAGGAACAAGTGTTTCCCAAGCAGCCACTAAAGCCACTACCAGAATGAAAATCTAGTCTGGGATTTGTGAATTTAGAAGTTATGATTCTCCATGTCACAAGAAGAGAATAAAAAACTTGAAATAAACAAGTCCTCCCAGAGTCATGAAAGCACTGATTCACAGGGCAAACTGGTGTCCTGAAAATGGAAAAGAGAAAAGAAAAGACTTTTAAAAAATGCCCCAAATATTCTGTTCTTAGGGCCTGTTACCAAAAAACTCTGTTTCACCAGAGTCTCACATAAACACACACAAAAATATAGAACACAATATCCATGACCCTCACATGACCTTCTTTAACAGAAGACTTAGATACATATGATGAAAATAACTGAAGAAGAGAGACAAAAATAAGTAATAACCGGTAAGATTTTCCTAATACTAATGATGAAGAATCTCAGTTGAACAAGAAATGAAAACACCTAAAATGGAGATGAAAGTGTATTATAATCAAATAGAGGGAAAAACAAACAAACAAAAAAACCAAAAAACAAAGGCAAAGAGACTATACTGTCAGAAGGTAGAAATATACTTTTGATATAGAGAAACAACGACTAGAATCAACTTGGGAGTTCTTTTCAGGAAAACAAAAAAATACAAGCAAGAAGCAAATGGACTGAAGTATTTAAAGACCAACAGACACACAGAGGTTAGAAGGAACCTGACAAAACGATAAAAAGGTCCATTCTCCAAAAAAGTGTCTTTCACATGTACATGCATAGCAACAAAGTGGCAAACTATATAAAGCGAGAGATGAAAAACGCAGGGAGGGCTCCTGGGCATATATAACTGGAGAAAAACATGATCAGAAAAGATACATGTGCCCCAATGTTTACTGCAGCACTGTTTAACAACAGCCAAGACATGGAAGCAACCTAAATGTTCATGGACAGAGGAACGGATAAAGAAGATGTGGTACATACATACAATGGAATATTACTCAGCCATTAAAAAGAGTGAAATACTGCCACCTGCAGCAACATGGAGTGTCATACTGAGTGAAGTCAGACAGAGGAGAAATATCTTATGATATCCCTTACATGTATAATCTAAAAAGAGATGACAGAAATTAACTTACTTACAGAACAGAAATAGACTCTCAGAATGAGTTTATGGTTGAGGGTGGGAGGAGGAGACAAGAGAGTTAAGAGAGGAACGTGTACACACTGCTATATTTAAAATGGATAACCAACAAAGACCTACTGTACAGCACATAAAACTCTGCTCAAGGTTATGTAGCAGCCTGGATGGGAGGGGAGTTTAGAAGAGAATAGGTACATGTATATGTATGACTCAGCCCCTTCCTTGTTCACCTGGAACTATCACAACATTGTTAATTGGCTATATCCCAGTACAAAATAAAAAACTAAAAAAAAAAAAGAACTGAACAGCACCAGGAAACAACTCAATTTAATGGGAATCTAAGAAATGATCAATGCAACGAAAGCAAAATTGACATTCTTTTCAAATACACATGGAACATTCAACAAGACAGAACACTTTCTGAAACATAAAACTAACTTAAGGGGCTTCCCTGATGGTCTAGTGGTTGAGAAACCACCTGTCAATGAAGAGGACGCAGGTTTGATCCCTGGTGCAGGAAGATCCCACATGATGATGGGGCAACTCAGCCTGTGCACCACTATAACTACTAAAACTCACCCACACCTACAGCCTGAGCTCCCCAAGAGAAGACACTGCAATGAGAAGCCTGCACACCGCAACTGGAGAGTAGCTGCTCACTGCAAGTAGAGAAAGTCCATGCTGCAAGGAAGACCCAGCACAGCCAAAAATAAATAACTAATATTAAAAGAGAAAAATTACCTTAACAAATCTGAAAGAACAAAAATCATATAAACTATGTTCTTAGAACTCAAAGGCATTCCTCTAGCAATCAATACAAGCAAGAGTCAGAAACTCCCCTAACACACAGAGATTCAACAACATATCTCTAAACAATAAATGGGATGAAAGAAGTCTCAAGAGAAATTAAAATTTACGTTGAGCTAAACTGTGGGATGCTGCAAAAGCAGTATCTACAGAGAAAATTATGCCATCATCAAATACATTCAGAAGAAACAAAGATCTGTAAACAATAATGCAAGCATTTATCTTAGGGAACAACAAAGAGAAGAGCATAAAATCACAAAGAAAGCAGAATAAATTATAAGAATCAGAAAGGAAATGAATATAATTGAAGAAGAAAAAAATTTAAGCCAGATCTTTGACAAGATTAATAACACTGATAAACATCTAGTCAATAGGACTATAAGGGTAGATATAAATTATCAGTATCAGAAAGGAACAGAGAGGGAAATGAAAATTTAAAAGGATTTTGTAAAATCCAGCACTCACTTATAATCACAAATAAGTAACAGAGGGAGTTCTTTCAAACTCCTGTTGAAAGAAGATATTCATGAATCCTGTAGGTAAAAGCAAGTATTTATTCTCTAGGACATAATTGGGCTTCCCAGGCGGCTCAGATGGTAAAAAAATCAGCCAGCCAATGCAGGAGATGTGGGTTCAATCCCGGGGTCAGGAAGATTCCCCTGAAAAAGGAAATGGTTACCCTCTCCAATATTCTTACCTGGGGAATCCCATGGACAGAGGAACCCGGCGGGCTACAGTCACAAACCAGCTGGACACGACTGAGTGACTAACATTTGCTTTCTACAGTTCTAGGACAATTATCTCTGTGAAACAACTGAAAGTTTCTCCAATAAAATAGATAATTGGAGTTCCCAAGATTGAAAGAAAATCAATTGTTTTCCTATAGATCCACAGTGAACTTGGACAAGGAAGGAAAGGCAATTCAAACAAAATCTTTTAAACAAATATGGATGGAAATAATGGATATTCATAAAAATACACACACAAACAAAACAAATGTAGACACAGGACTTAATACATCTCACCAAAAAACCCTGAAAACATATCATGGATCTAAATGTAAAATGCATAAGTGGGACTTCCCTCGTGGTCCAGTGGCTAAGACTTCATGTTCCCAAATGCAGAGGGCTCAAATTCAATTCCTGGTCAGGGAACAGGATTCCACATGTCAAAACTAAGACTTGGCACAGCCAAATAATACGTAAAGAAATGAGAAAACATTTTTTAAGATGCAAAAGTAACAAACTTCTGGAACATATCATAGGATGAAATCTAGGTCACCGTGGGTTTGGTGATGAATTTTCAAATATAACAACACAATTTTCAAATATAACAACAACAAACACAAGGTGTGTAAAAGAAAAAAAGTATAATTTCACACCATTAAAATAAAAAAAATAAGTCTCTTCTATGGAGGTGATATATGTGCACATATAGCTGATTCATGTTGTTGTACAGCAGAATTGTAACATTGAAAAGCAATTATGAAAGTGAAAAGTGCAGTCACTCAAGTGAGTCCAACTCTTTGTGACCCCACGGACTGTAGCCCTCCAGGCTCCTCTGTCCATGGAATTCTCTAGGCAAGAATACTGGAGAGCATTGCCATTTCCTACTCCAAGGGATCTTCCTGACCCAGGGATTGAACCTGGGTCCCCTGCATTGGCAGGTGGGTTCTTTACCACTGAGCCTCCAGGGATGCCCTAAGATGGGGGGAACGGAATTTGGTACCCTTACCATGGAAGACAGGAGCTTTCTTTCAAAACGAAATATACTCTTACTATGCATGGGAAACAGAGAAACAGTGGAAATAGTGTCAGACTTTATTTTTGGGGGGCTCCCAAATCACTACAGATGGTGATTGCAGCCATGAAATTAAAAGACGCTTACTCCTTGGAAGGAAAATTATGACCAACCTAGATAGCATATTAAAAAACAGAGATATAGCCAACAAAGGTCCATCTGGTCAAGGCTATGGTTTTTCCAGTGGTCATGTATGGATGTGAGAGTTGGACTGTGAAGAAAGCTGAGCGCCGACAAATTGATGCTTTTGAACTGTGGTGTTGGAGAAGACTCTTGAGAGTCCCTTGGACTGTAAGGAGATTCAACCAGTCCATCCTAAAGGAGATCAGTCCTGGGTGTTCATTGGAAGGACTGATGCTGAAGCTGAAACTCCAATACTTTGGCCACCTCATGTGAAGGGTTGACTCACTGGAGAAGACCCTGATGCTGGGAGAGATTGGGAGCAGGAGGAGAAGAGGACGACAGAGGATGAGATGGCTGGATGGCATCACCGACATGATGGACATGAGTTTGAGTAAACTCCGGGAGTTGGTGATGGACAGGGAGGCCTGGCGTGCTGCGATTCATGGGGTAGCAGAATCGGACACGACTGAGCGACTGAACTGAACTGATGTATATTAAGGCCCACAATCACACTGTTATTTGTCCAAATAAGGTCGAATCATAGTCACACAGAACCTGCACATAAATACCTGAAGGGCTTTATTCACAATTGTCATGAATTGAGGTAAGCAAGATATCTTGCAAGAGTCAAATAATCAGCGGTATATCCACATGATGAAATTGTTGTTCGATTGCTCAGTCGTTTTGGACTCTTTGTGACCCCATGGACTGCAGCACACCAGACTTCCCTGTCCTTCACCATCTCCTCCTCAGTCGTCCCCTTCTCCTCCCACCTTCAGTCTTTGGCAGGTGGATTCTTTACCACCTAGCCACCAGGGAAGAAATCGAGCTATGAAAACACACCAAGAAAGCTCAATAGTATATACAGCTAACTGAAAGAAGTCAATATGACAAAGCTATAAACTGTATGATTCCAAGTATATGAGTGCCTTCAAGTACTTCCCCTTGAAGGCTCCAAGGGGGCCATAGTCTGACAACACTGACCTCAGGCTCTGCTCTCCATTTAAAGGGCTCTCTTCCACCACTGAAATTTTAAGTACACAAACCCTGTCTGCCTAATTCAGGAAAATCACTCAAATCCAATGTTTATATGGAAATGAGAGAAGAAAATTACAAGTAACTTTTACTACTCTACCCAGAAAACCCCAAGTATCTATTCCTTTCAGAAAATATATATCAATTAATATTTCCAGGGCAAGTTTATTTTCTACATAATTAATCATACTTGAATACTTTTAGTCTGCAAGTCTAAATCCTATAATGCCATTTGAAATCAACCAATAGTACAGTCCAAAATAAATCACCATACTCATTCAGGGAATAAAAAATAGTCAAACAAAAATTCTTCACAAATGGAATGTAATACTAGAATTTACTCCCCCCCTGAAATTAACCTCTCTTAGCACTTACCAGGTTCTATTAATTAAATACATTTCACACTACTGGAAAAAAAAAACTTAAATTAAGGAGTAAATCTTTTGAAGGGGAGTAACATAGTGACTGGCAGGGCAGATCCAGAAAAGTTTTCAAAAAATCCTCTAGGTGGGCTCCCCGGTGGCTCAGTGGTAAAGACAGGAGACATGGGTTCCATTCCTATTCTGGGACGATTCCACATGCGAGGGAGCTACTAAGACAGTGCTCTAGAGACCGGAGGCAACTACTGAGGTCACCTGCCCTGGGACCCCTGCTCCGAGGCGGCAGGGGTGACCACTGCAGTGAAAAGCTCGAGCAATTCAGCCAAGAAAGGCCCCCGCTTTCCGCGACTGGAGAAGGGTCCGCGCAGAGGCAAAGGCCCAGCACAGCCAAAAATAAATAAATAGATTAATTTAAAAAAAATCCTCCACGAAAGAACTTCTTCTAGGATATCTGTTCTCAGTTAAATTAAAAAAAAAAAAATCGGGAACGGAAAGGATTTCATACAACCTACTTCCCAGTGGTTATTTTCGCGGCTTGGCGCTCAGGTAAAATATCCACAGACCGCCCCCCGCCGCCCCGCCCCTTGCAAATATGCCATCCACGACTCCGCGCCAAGACTGTGCAAACAGGATGAACAGTTAGAACATTGCTTGTGTTTAAATGCACCGCAGAGACAAACAGCTGATAAGTAATTTGAATCGGAGAGGCGAAATCGACTTTGAGAATAAAGGGAGCAATCTGGAAATTTAATGATTCACTGCCAGTCCTACATAGCTGCTCTTGAGGGCTAAGGTGTTCAGTTTTAAGAGTCCACTTCCCAAATATTCAGAAAACTCAGAGGAAGCCCGGCGCTCCCCTCTCCTTCCTGCAGAACAGATGGTCTGGGAACCCTCAGACAACAGTTTAATCCCATGACAGAACCCTGGACCAGTCCCGATTGTCCCCTGAAGACCGTGCACGTGGTCAGCGCACAATCTAGGGGAGAAGAGGGGCTGCAGGCGCAGAGCCAGCGGGCAGACTCCGCCACGTAAGTTCTTTCCGGAAGTGACAAGACTGGACGCCCGGGGACCCGGCTGCCGGCCAACAACCCCGCTGAGAACCCGAGGGGACTGAGATCCGAGCGGAGCCCCAGACAACGCGTATCTGCGCACTCCGGGGGTGAACACGAGGGGCCAGGTCAAAATGGCGGGTTTCCGCCGATCCCCACTAGTCCCACCGCGGCGTCCGATGCCCTGGTCAGCACACTCACCATTTCCAGGTCTCCTGGGACTGTCTGAGTCCCTCCCAGAGACGACCACCAGAGCGACAGAAGATGCAGGAGAATGTCCAGGCCAGTGAACCAGACAGAACACGAAACCTGCGCAATGCGAAAAAGAAAGGAAGTCCACGTAGCGGGACATCGCCCCGCCCATCTGCCTCAGCGTCCTCCTGGTTGGACGGATCCCAAAGCCCCGCCCCTTGTGCCTAAGTGACAGCTTGCGGGAGGTGAGGTGGGACCAGACCCCCGAGCCAGTCACTTTCGCTGCGCTGTTGTGGTTATTCACTCAGTCGTGTCCGACTCTTTGCGACCCCATGATAGAAGACTTTTTCCTGGCTAAGACTGCTTTTAGTGTCTTCTGCAGCTCCTCCTGCACTGGGATTCCTGATTCAGTTTCAAGAAGGAGCAAGTACAAACAAGAGGATGGCCCAGGCCAGACCTGCCAGGAACCAGGCTTTTGACTCCACCAGGGGTCAAGGGCTTGGTGTAAGGCTGTGTGGCCAGGCATGGAATGTGCTTCCTTTTAAGAAAAGCAGACACTTAAATGTGAACTCCTCTCTGCGGTAAAGGGGCCTGGTGCATTTTCATCTTTGGTCCTTGACTGCTCTGAGCCTTCTATCCATCCCTGCACTACCTCCACTCATTAGGTACTTAAGCTGAAGAATCCTAGAGCACTTGGCTCTCTGTTAGGAGGTCTGAATCACTCAACCTTTGCTGGTGCCAATGTTGCAGGAGAAACCAATTCTGACTCCATGTTAAAACTGTTTCTTTGACTTGCTTTTCATTGCTTGTGTTATTATGGTCATACATAATGACAAGCCCTTGACGCCTGGTGGACTCAAAAACCTTGTTCCTGACAGGTCAGGCCTGAGCCATCCTCATATCTGTACTTGCTCTTTCTTCAAACTGATACATACGCTTCCCTGATGGCTCACTTGGTAAATAGTCTGCCTGCAATGTCAGAGACCCAGGTTCGATCTTTGGGTGGGGAAGATCTCCTGGAGAAGGAAATGGCAACCTACTCCAGTATTCTTGCTTGGAGAATTCCATGGACAGAGGAGCCTGGTTGGCTGCAGTCCATGGGGTGACAAAGAGTTGGACACTGAGTGACTAACACTTTCACTTTCAATGACCTGCCTCAGAGGACACTGCCAAAGGGTGTTTGTTCAGATCACAGGGAGATAATCTGACTCTGCCCCTTGTGAAAAGAAGAGATTGATACATCTCTTCCAAAGGCTAGCCATTCCCTGAGATGTTTTGCAAGACTGATGGCCCTTTTTGCTCTACTTCCTCATTGCCTCTCTTGCTCTATTCTGGCCTTTTGTTGTTTTTTTGAAATTTTAATTGGAGGATAATTGCTTTACAATATTGTGCTGGTTTCTGCCATACATCAACAAGAATCAGCCACAGGTATACATATGTGCCCTCCCTCTTGAACCTTCCTCCCATCTCTCACCCCCATCTCACCCCTCTAGGTTGTCACAGGACACTGGATTGAGCTTCCTGTATCACACAGCAAATTTCCACTGGCTATCTATTTTGCATACTGTTGTTCAGTTACTAAATCGTGTCCAACTCTTTGAGAACCCATGGGCTGCAGCACAGCCAGGCTTCCCTGTCCTTCACTATCTCCCGGAGTTTGCTCACACTCATGTTCATTGAGTCAGTGATGCCATCCAACCATCTCACCCTTTGTCACCCCCTTCTCCTCTTGCCCTCACTCTTTCCCAGCACCAGGATTTTTTCCAATGAGTCCAGTCTTTGCATCAGGTGGCCAAAGTATTGGAGTTTCAGCTTGAGCATCAGTCCTTCCAGTGAATATTCAGGGCTGATTTCCTTTAGGATTGACTGGTTTGATCTTTTTGCTTTCCAAGGGACTCTCAAGAGGCATCTTCAGCGGGCCGGTTGTGGGCTGTCTGGGGGTGAGGGGCTCCTGGGCTGGCGGCCGGCCTGGGTGCATCCCGGGGGTGGCAGCGGCGGTGCCCGGGTGGCCTGAGCGCCTGAGCCTTCCTCGCCTTCCGGGGCCTGCCCCTGACCCGCCTCTCCCCTTGCCCCTTCCTTCCCCCGCCCTGTCTCCCCCGCCACCCCCCACCGCAACGGAGGGCGGAGCAGCCGTGTTCCCGTGCCGCCTCCGGGGTCTGTCCCTCTCCTCCGGACCCGCCGGTGACGTTTCTTACAAGTGCGTGGAGGACGCGCTTGTGACTGGGGAGGCGGCGGGGGCAGCGGGAGGAGGCGCTGGAGGGGGAGAGGGGGCGCCCACTTCATCCTGCTCGCCGGCTCCCTGGCCTGAGACCGTCCCGGCGTCCTCGCAACCGCCCCCGGCGCTGCCACCCTCCCTCTCCTCTCCCCAGCACCCCCGCCCCGCTCCGCGGGCGCCGGTCCTCGCCCGGCGCCGCAGGTCCGCTCGGCCCTCCAGGCCACCTCTCCAGCCGGCACCTCCCACCTCCCCACCGGAACCAGGCTGGTTTCAGAAACGCCCTTACAGCAGCGGGCACAGCGCAGGCTGGAGCTAGAAGAAAGCGGTCAGCAGTACTCTCACATGGTTAAAAAAACCCCAAGGGCCAAGGAAGAGCTGCACCCCGAAGTCCAGGTAGCCCCCAAACTCCAAAATCTCCCTCAGAAAAAACAGGGTATGATACATCCCTTGGTCTGCTCACCAAGGAGTTCATTCAACTACTGAGCCGATCACCTGATGGGGTCTCAGATTTGAACAGGGCAGCAGAGGTGCTGAAGGTGCGAAAGAGAAGGATTTATGACATCACCAACGTCCTGGAAGGCATCCACCTCATTAAGAAGTCTAAAAACAACATGCAGTGGATGGGCTGTGTCTATCTGAGGACATGGGCATACTGGCCCAGTGTCAAGGCCTGTCAAAAGTGACCAAGCTAGTCAGGAAGAGAGGAAATTAGATGAACTGATTGATCCAAGCTGCTCCCTGGACCTCAAACTGTTAAACGAGGATTCAGAGAATCAAAGGTTAGCTTATGTTACATATCAAGATATTCGAAAAATTAGTGGCCTTGAAGACCAAACTGTTAATAGTCGTGAAAGTCCCTCCAGAAACATGACTTGAAGTGCCTGACCCAATAGAGAGCCTATAAATACATTTGGCAGGTACCCAAGGATGCATTGAGGTTTATTTGTGTCCAGAAGAGACTGAAACATGCAGTCCAATGAAAGCAAACAACCAGGACCACAAAGGGAATATCCCTAAGCCCACTTCCAAAGACTTGGCTTCAACCAACTCAGGACATAGTGATTGCTTGATATCTATGACAAACCTTTCTTCTCTGGCCTCCCCGGCCAACCTTTTACAGCAGACTGAGGACCAAATTCCTTCTAACCTAGAAGGACCATTTGTGAACTTACTTCCTCCCTTGCTCCAAGAAGACTGTCTCCTTATCCTGAGGGAGGAAGAAGGCACCAACAATCTCTTTGATGCTTACTATTTGAAAAGCTTCTGCTGGTGGAAGACTTTATGTGTATCCTTTGTCTGAACTCCCTTTATAAACTAATGCTTTTTTATTATGAAACCAGAACATGTGTCATGCAGCAATGTCCCTCCTTTCTTCCTCCAAGATAGTATCTTGAAGTAACTACAGACTTCAGAACAAAGCTGATGTTTTAATGAATTAAAAAACAACAACAACAACAACAAAACTGCCTTATCACCTTACAGTTACAGGCTCCCTTGGGAAAGCCCTGCCTTGCCCCAGGCTCCAAAATCTCCTGGATGAGTCAACAAGTGAGAAAATGTGCAATCAGGTGTCTCTCACCTGTCCTCTGCCTCCCTCCAGCCCTCCCTCCTGGATTGACTTACTGTGTCTGAGGGATGATGGGCTGTAGAATGGGGTCTGGCCACCTGGCCCATTCAAAAACAGCAATTTTCCTTAATAGCATTTCAAGTCGTGCCTTCTCTGAAGAATGCATGTCTTTGGGGTCTGCTAATTTGGGATGGAAACTGCAGGAACTGTAAACTTTAAGTCATGCAAAAGTATGAAATGGATTTCTTCAGCTCTTCTTTGGAATATTTAAATTACTCTCATACTCAGTTTAAGCCATGGACTGCGTGTACCACTCCGAGGCCAAGGGATCTTCCACATCCTTTCAGATGAAGAAACTGTTCTCAAATATTCCTTGCATATACAGAGTTCTGCCCCTCTAAACTGTTGTGCAATTTCCTGTCTCCATAAACCCCTCCCACTCTCTTGCCTCTGTCTGGGGAGTTTGTTATTTCCTGGGGTCTGTCTTGTCACAACAAAAATTTGAAGCAACAGAGGGCCCAGTGTTACAGCTCCATATTACAATTCAGTTTTATGTTACAACTCAGTTTTATTTAGAAAGTAAAGGAAAATACATCCTTCAGTCATGAGGGCATGCCAACCCAAAAGACCCGAAGAGAAGAGAGGCCCCCTGGCCCAATTTTGGCTTCCCTTTTTATATGTTTTTTTCTCCTCCTCCTGAGCCTGTCCTATGTAAATTGGTCTAGCCTGGAGGGCTGTTTGTTTTAGCTGAGGTTTTCTCTCTGATCTTCCAACCTTGCTTTCTTCTATTTTAGCGAGCTTTTCCCTCCGTTGTCTTTTAGCCACTGCCATTCTGACTCCTTTTTCCTATTCTGACTACCTAACACCCCTAATGTATTTGTAAATTTGAAGTTTGTAGCAAACTCCTACTTAGGAGTTCTTTGTGGATTGTTTTAGTTTTTTTTCTCTTTTTTTAGCTGCCATTTAAGCATTCCTGTGGCATCCATCAACCATTTCAATTTAATGGTTTACCTTGAAGCGGTTTTTGCTAATTCAAATTATTTTAAGCTGAGGTAGAGAACCTCTGCTGATCAGAGCATGTGTGATCTAAGGCTTAACAGCCTCGGGGAGAATCTTCACCCCATCTCGCTTTCTTCCCCAGGAGGGGGTGCTCAGAGTGAGTGGAGCTTGCTGACAGGGGGGCGGCCCATTGGAGACAACCAGGTCAGATGACGTGGCAGCCCCTAGGAACAGCAGGTGTGGAGGGATCCCTTCGTCTCTTGGGCTTCCCAGGCCCCCTTTGGCCAGGGAAAGGGCTCTTGTACTGCACTCAGGGAGACCGCTTCTCAGGATGGAGTCAGATGGAGAGGTCTTTGGAGAGAAGGACATCCCCCATCATGCTATCAGTGGCACTTCGCTTCAGCCCTTGAGAGGAGGGAGCTCCCACTGTGAAGGGGGCTACAGGAGTCCTGGCCAGAACTCCCTGTTTCCCCTTCTACTGTGAAGGAGCAGGTTGGACCAAGGAAAGCTGGGGCTGTAGAGAAAAACGCAGGGCAGGATGCCAGGGCATCTCCCACTTAACTCTCCAGGAATGGCATCCCAAGTTGGAGGCGTCCTGACAGCAGCAAAATCCTGCCAGTTGAGTCCAAGAATGGCTTTCCCATTGGCCAGTGGGGAGATGGCCATCTCCCACTGGGAATGTGGCAGAGCACCTCACATCCATTCCTTGGATGCTAATGACTGTGGGAATGAGGGAGTCATCTAAACAATAAATAAATAAACCTCAACACAAAGAACAGTTGAGTTGAATCACTGTTGTGCCCAACAGAGTGTGAGGTGCATGGTAGGCACTCTATTCAACAGGATGGGGAAAAAAAAAATACTGGGTTGGCCGAAACATT